CATTAAAAAAAAAAAAACATAAATTCCGATCGCTGCCCCATAGTCACCGTCACCACCTCCGTGCGCCACCGGGATTGAGCCACACAACCCGCCATCGGTGCCTCCTTGCGACACCTCCTCGGCGATCACCACACGGGGCCGCGAACATCCGAGGATAGCACCTCTGTCCACGAGCGCCCGATCCAGTCTGTTCGTGACCCTCAACTACCGCATCGCTACCCGACATCCGCATGCAAGCCGACAACCACCCGTGATCCCATGCGAGGCGCGCGACTCGAGATCCCGTTGAGCTTTCTCGTCGCTCCTTGACCCATTTTTTTTCTTCCCTATGGAGTACGGTAATGGATGGCTTCCCTAGACTATTATTTTGATATATAAGTGTGTATTAGTTGTTGCCATGGTGTTTAAATATGTTTTGGATAATGTGTGTTTATGTTTAATTGTCGTTTGGTGTTCGTATCTTCGGTTTATCGTCGAAACTGAAGGACATATGTGAATTCATGGAAATCCTGGAATTATAGATAATTTGGAGTGTCCTTGATATGTTTGTTCAAGCCTTGTGTCGTTTTGATGCTTGTGCTTTGAGTTAAGAATTTTTGAAGTTTATCATGCTGTTGTACTTTGTTAAAATCATGATAAATTGAACTCTGATGGTTTTAATGTGAATTTTTGATATGTTGGTCCTCTATTCTTGTTGTTTAAGTGGTAAAATCTCAGGTCTAGATTCGATGTTTAACTAGATCAAATAATGATTTTGAGTTTTGGCCTGAATCTTGTAAATGTTAATAAAATCGAGTTTTAAGTGTTTTGGTTTGAAATTATGGGGATTGTATCAATTTGACCTGATGGTAGTTGTGTCAAATATTCAAGTTAAAATTCAAATGGTAACCACTCGAACTCGTAACTTCAGATTTTATAGCTGATTTTGAAAAAAATTGTTTAACTGAGTTATGGCATATATGATGGTCTATCTTTTTTGAAAATTTGTGTTTTTGTGTCCTCTGTTGTGTGTAAAAATTTTAGGTAAAAACCCTGACCAACCCCTTTGACTTCCCTTTTACCCGTTATCTTGTTTTACCTGTCGAGTATGTCTTAAATGATTTTAATTGGATTCTTTTGGAGTCTAGTGGTCTACTCCAAAGGTTCCAAACTCCACTGAAGGACCCACGAATCACTTCGTCGATTATGTTCGACTAAGTGAATGTGTTGTAAATGGCTTTAAGTGTCGGAATAGTTGTTGATAGGACTATTCTTGACGAATATAGGTGTTTGACGAGTCGTGCTCTCATCCTACCAGCTTTTGTGTGATATCTACTGCTCCGTAATCTAGGTGGGTTTAGTTATGAAATACCTATGTCGTGAATGATTTATATTGTATGTTGGCATGATCAATGTATGCATGTGAACCATGTAGCCTTCAATGTAAGCTGTATCAATCGTTGAACGGTTATTCCCGACTACATGGTATATGTCTTGTATAGGCAGTCTCCATATATCGTTGTAAGGCCACATAGTGGGGCATTCAGTATGATGTCGTTGTAAGGCCACATCGAGGGGCATTCGACATTTACTCCTATTAGTATGGGATTCAATGTAAGGCCACATAGTGGGGCATTCGTTGTAAGGCCATTCAGTAGTCTATGGGTAGGTGTGCACACGAGTAAGACTCTGGATAGAAGATGGGATAGATAATTGATTTGTATGCATGATGCGTCCCTACCTGTCTTATTATGTTGTTATTTATGTGCATAGTGGTGAGCAAGTGAATTTGTGTGCTCACCCCCATGTCCCCCCCCC